GAGAGAATACATCTCAAAACTGAAAAGAAGAAAAAAAATAGGGAAATATTGAGAGGGAAAATTAACAGAGTGAAAATTAAAGAAAAGAGGCAGAAAGGGAGATATAAGAAAAGGAAGAGGAAGAAGGTAAGGGAATGGGAGAAAGGGACGAAAGCATCAAGAAATGGGATTGTGGAGAGTTTAAAAGAAAATGGTTAAGAGTCAGTGAAAATATTAATATGTTAACAAAGAGAAGGATGTTAGCTGTAGAAATTATATGTGAAAATACTGTTTAATGTAAAATAGATCAGTAGATGAAATGTGAAAAAAAATGAACTGTTTTTGATGTTGGACGAAGCACTAAGTGGAGAGAAATAAAAGCAACAAAAGAATTAATTGAAATTAAGATGAAAATTGAAATTGAAATGTAAAATTGAATGAAAATGAAATGTTAGTAAATAATGAAAATGACAGACTTGTAAGAAGTAAAACGGAAGAAATACATTGTTAAAGGGAAAAAAGCAAGGGTTGGAAGATTATTTTAACAAAGGTTTCAAGGAAAAAAATGCAGTAAATTGAAATATTTGTTAATAATTAAAAAGAGGAGGGGAATTTCGAGTTAATAAATGAGAAAGATCGGGGTTGCCTGGACACCATAGTGGAAAATATTAAATTGAAAATGAATACAGCAATAGAGAGAGATGGAAGAGGAGTAGAGAGATGGAAGAGAAGGGGAGAAGAGAGAGGGATGGAAGAGAGGGGAGGAAGGAAGAGAGGGGAAATCAGAGTAGGAGAGAGGGCTAGACAGGGAGAAAGAAAGGAGAAGGAGAAAGGAAGAGGAAGTAGAGAGGAGCAGGAGAGGAGGGAAAAAGAAAGTAAGAAGGAAAGAAGAGAGGGAAATGGCAGAATTGAGAAGAAAGATTGCTGTACAACAAAAAAGATGAAATGGAAGAAAGGCAACCCCGAACATATATAAATATACTAAGATAAAGAATGAATGGTTAAAAAATAAAAGAGAATACATATGAATAAGCAGGAAAATTAGAATTTGAGGGCGAATGAAGATGTTGTTTATATAAGTAAGCAAAGAAATATCGAGATATGATTAAAAAAAGGGAAAAAAGAAAATTGTGGCAAAAATTGTAATTGAATAAAATGTATTTGAATTTGATAAATTGTATAAGATAAGATATGGCCAATACTCTGTTCAAAAAAGATGTGGGTGAATGTGGGGGGAACCAATAAAACTTGATTTAAAAATAAAACCTATGCTGAACAGGTATTCTGGGAACTGTAGCCATACACACAACCTAGTGTAAATAACACACTGCACAAGAAGTGGAGCACATTGAGCATTTTTTTTTAATTCAAAAGCCACACAGCACTTTCATATGCAAAAAAAGATTGCCAAAGAAAGTGATACTATGTTTTGAACATTAAAAAAGTGTTTTAGGTATTAGTAAGTGGAATTTTCACAAGATCAATTTGTATGCCTGGTTTGAGCACCACAACTCATCTGAAGGCTTGTGTTAAAGAAGTTTTACCATTATTATGGATAACTTAGTGCAGCAGAATTATTTCACACAGTGTTTCTATTAATGCCAGAAAGAGCTAAATTATTAATAGGAAAAGTTTTCAAATATCAATACTAAATGGCAGGAAAACCCTACTTGACACTTTTACTCATGTTACTAACATGAATCTTTTCACCCATTTCAATTAAAATGGGTAAAATATGAAAATGTGGGTTAGACAGCATCACCACCAGATGGATTCGTAACTGGCTGACCAACCGCACTCAACGTGTAGTCCTCAATGGAACTGCATCTACATGGAGGGATGCAGTGGAATACTCCAAGGCTCTTTTTTAGGCCCAGTAATCTTCAACATCTTCATCAATGACTTGGACGAGGGGATAGATAGGGAACTCATCAAATTTGCAGATGACACCAAGCTGGCAGGAATAGCCAACACTCCAGAAGATAGGCTCAAGATACAGAAGGATTTTGACAGACTTGAACATTGGGCGCTATCCAGGTGTGAAATCTAAAATTTTTTGCTACCGGTTCTGTGGGCGGGGCTTAATTAGTGGGCGGGGCTTGGTGGTAAGGTGACTGGGTAGGCGTGGCCAAGTCAATGTCACTTCTTTGCCCTTTTTTAACCTATAAAACACAACACAACACAACTGGCTCACCCACAATGTAAAAGCAGCTGTGCTAGACTCAAAATGGCCCCGCAACAAGCAGGAACCTCACACAGCCACAAAAAGCCCAAAAAAACAACTTTCACACTTTACACACACAAAATTCCATACAGCTTTGTGAGATTTTGTGTGTTTGTATAGCTAGAGTGAAACATTACAGAAACACACTAAATCCCAGAAAGCTGCCCAAATATTATTTTATTTTATTTTATTTTTATTTTTATATAAAAGCAGCTAAATTTAAAACTTCCTAAACTTTAAATGGCTAGGTCTAAAAAAAGAACTAAAAAAACCCCAATTAACTTTTTTTTTAAAGCTCCCAAAGGGGGAAAAAACTTACCCAATAGAACAGGGATCTCCAACCTTGGCAACTTTAAGACTTGTGGACTTCAACTCCCAGAATTCTTCAGCCAGCTTTGCTGGGAGAAGTCCACAAGTCTAGGCAGGAAGGCAGGCAGGCAGAAAGAGCTGCTCACCGATGAGCTTGATTGCAGGCAGGGAGATTCAGTTGCTTGCTGATGCATGGATTGCGATCGTCATGCGATCAGCAGCTAAGGTAAGCAAGCTGGAGGCTGGGGGGGGGAGAAAAAAAGAAACTTTTTTTCTTTTACATGGCTCTGGCAAGCCAAGCTGAGTTGCCTGATTAGCAGGCAACTCAGCTGGGATGTCAGAGCTTGGCTGGTCAGAGCCATTTAAAAGGAAAAAAAGGCTCTGATGATCGCGGGGCTCAGCTGGGCATGTGGGGTGGGGGCAGGGATTTTTGCTACCGGCTCTCCGAACTGCCCACCGCCATTGCTACCTACTCGCCTGAGCCGGTCCGAACCGGGAGCATTTCACCCCTGGCGCTATCTAACAAAATGAAATTCAACAGTGAAAAAAGTAAGGTTCTATATTTAGGCAAGAAAAACAAAATGTACAGGTACCGTATATGTGGTACCTTGCTCAATAGTAATAACTGTGAGAGGGATCTTGGAGTCCTAGTGGACAACCATTTAAATATGAGTCAGCAGTGTGCAGCAGCTGCCAAAAAAGCCAACACAGTTTATAATGCCTTGGTAAGGCCACACTTGGAATATTGCATTCAGTTTTGGTCGCCACGATGTAAAAAGATGTTGAGACTCTAGAAAGAATGCAGAGAAGAGCAACAAAGATTAGGGACTGGAGGCTAAAACATATTAAGAATGGTTGCAGGAACTGGGTATGTCTAGTTTAATGAAAAGAAGGACTAGGGGAGACATGATAGCAGTGTTCCAATATCTCAGGGGTTAGCACAAAGAAGAGGGAGTCAAACTATTCTCCAAAGCACCTGAGGGTAGCATAAGAAGCAATGGGTGGAAACTAATCAAGGAGAGAAGCAACTTAGAACTAAGAAGAAATTTCCTGACAGTTAGAGTGGAACAACTTGCCAGCAGAAGTTGTGAATGCTCCAACACTGTTAATTTTTAAGAAGATGTTGGATAACCATTTGTCTGAAGTGCTGTATGGTTTCCTGCCTTGGCAGGGGGTTGGATTAGAAGACCTCCAAGGTCCCTTCCAACTCTGTTATTCTTCTAAATTCAATTAAGTACTGTAATTCCTCAAAATGATAAGCCCCATTATAATGAGGCAGAATATGAACGATATATGACTTTTAAATAATGTACTTTATGCCCTTTACTGGGTAGAACTTTAAAAAGTGTAAAGTAGAATATTATACCTTTGCAGATGAGTAACTAACATAACTTCTAATATCAAATTTAAACAGAGAAATCCAAGGCAGCTTCTTAAACTTTATAAATATAACTTCACTTCATATTGAAATTCTACTCCTATACAGAACCCCCACACAAAACTGTTGGAACTTATTATACATATGCAAACATTCCTACAAAAGCATTTTCAAATGAAATTGAAAAATTCATTAAAAATCCAAACCTTCTATTGCCCACAAAAGAAAAGAAAAGAAAAGAAAGAGGGGGTTAAAAGTGAAAGATAAGGTAAAAAGAATTTACCACATCTTCGTCTGGTGGCCTAGTGTTAATTCTGGGTAATGTAGAGTTAAGAATAAGGTGCCACCAAAAACAAAATGACAAGTGCCATTCCTTCGCAGGGAGTACATAAATAGCTGAGATGATAATGGATTGGAAGGCGAAGATACGCTGTAAGCTTTCTGTCTGAGGCTCTTCTTAATTTGAATGGCTTTTAAAAAGAACAGGAACCAAAGAAACGCGGAAAGGATTAAATATTTTCCCACGCATTTATTTCTAACTCCAATCTCGAGGAATTTCCTTATATAACAAAGTAATGTTAAAAGGCATAACTGCTCTCCTACAAGGCCAAAACAATGGGTCTTCGAAAACGATGCAAGGAGGAATAAGACCCACTCTGTCTATCTAGCGAGGAACTATCCTCGCTAAAACACGTGTCATACCCCCGCATTTTTCCTTTGTCCAGGGCACACACTGGCACACACTGGCTAGTCAAAGTCAGGGACCATTTCTTCGAAAATAAAGCGTCGTCAACTACCTCCCTACTTAAAAATTCCCGGAATTAATTCCACTAGGCAGCAGCTTTTCAGCCCTACAATTCAGGCGCCAGCATGTGCAGAGCGCTTTCCTCTCAGCACCGGCTAGTCACGCTGGTCCCCCAAACCTCTTACCCGGCTTAGAGGATGCAACTCCCCGGCACTCTGAACTGATATTAGCGCTGCCTTTTAAATGCTAATTAAAGAAAAGCTAAGTCACGGCGGGAAATCGATCAAGGCCAAACAGGCCAAAACGCCTGGCTGGGGCTGTTACTGGAGGCAGAGGAAAAGAAGGAGGAGGCGTTTTTTACTCACCCCTCCCGAGCCGCCAAACGCGTTTTATTTTTGGACTGAAACGGATCCTCCTTGCCGTTTGTTCCCGGCAAGATTTTACCGCGATGCAGAAAGCTGTTCTCATCATTTCTGAATGTAACACTAACCCCTAAGTAGCCTACGCTCTCTTCTCAGCCCCAGAGTGGCGTGAGTGACCTTAGCGGGTGTCCCCTGCTTGCATCTCCCGGGTCCGGCCGCGCTTTTTTCTCGACAAGGGGAAGGACGAGTAGGAGCTGCGCCAAGGCCGATTTACGGCTGTCGTCAATAGCTCCCAAAGGCAAATGCTGTTCCTTTCTCCCTTCCGGGCCTCAATGCAAGTAACTAATTGTGGGGAGGAGGAAGGAGCTACTATGTTGATGTCCAAGGGAGGAGAGAAATATAGTAACTGATCTGGGGAAGGGGCCATAGTCAAAGAACTGATCTAAGCGTGCAAACACAGGTACAGATTTTCCAAGTTCGCTTTTCTCCTCCTGCAAGCCGAATTGTTTATTTTGATCTTTTGCACCTACCAATCTCGGAAAATCCACGCATCATTCCCACATTGAATTTTCAGGCAAGGAACCAATCCCAGGAATAATAGTCGTCCTTCAATCACAGGTGAGCTCTAAGAGGTAAGACGATGTATATCATCCGGGCCAATATCGCTGGGAGCTTCTTAAATAAGTGAGGTTGTGAATTTTAGACTTTTCCCCACTACAAAATATAGGGTTCCCCACCCTATACTTAGGCATCAAACAACTTTACCACAAGATTTGCTGTTAAGTTAAGGTGACCAGACGTCCCGCTTTTGGCGGGACAGTCCCGCTTTTGAGCAATTTGTCCCGCGTCCCGCGGCGTTTCAAAAAAGTCCCGATTTTTCTTGAGCCCCAGCTGATGGCTAGAAGAAAAAAAAACTGTTTAAACTCTTGCCCGGGGCTTCAAAGGGCCGCCCTACAGGCAATCAGTGTAAAGCAGTTTTTTTTTCCCCTAGCTAAGCTTCAGAAACGAAACCGAAACCGAAACCAGGGTCTTTGGTGCAGCGTGACAAAATGAGGCAGAGAGAGATTTATTTTTATTTTTATTTTTCCTCCCCAAAAAAGGTAGGTGAAAAACTGCAAACAATGGGAAATTTAGGAGGAGAGTTCAAGATTTTAAAACACAAAGGAAAAAAAGCTGTATTTAACTAGGGAATTGTAATAATTGAGATACTATTAATTGTATATTGTGTTGAAACCAGAAATGGTTAAGTTGTGGTTCGGAGGAATATATGGGAGAAATTATTTGGTTTATTATTATTGGTAAATATAATTAATTGATTTGTAAGAAATTGGATTGCATGGAAATAATTGGAATATTCATGTTCATATTGATTAATATACAAAAAAGATAGTTTTATAACTAATTGATTTATATTAAAATGTTGAATTTGTATTAAACAACTGTATTACATAATTACATAATTAAACAATGTGAGGATGGATATAAAAATAGATGACAATGGGAAGGGGTATAATATAGAATAGAAGGGAAAAATTGAATTTGATTAAGATTAGAGATGAGGATGAAGGGTAATATTGGTTTTTTTAAAAAATAGATGAGGAATAAATATGGCAAAAAGGAAATATAGAAATTGTAAATTTAATTGAAATGACTAAACGCTGTTTAAATTTGTGAACCAGCCAAATATTCTGTTCAAAGAAAATACATTGTATGTTTGTATGTGTGTTTCTAATTATTGCTATTTATTCATATTTGTTCTCTTTTATTCTTTAAAGTTTAACAATTCATTCTTTATCTTAATATCTTTATATTTGCTTGGGGTTGGCTTTCTTCCCTTTCATCTTTTTTATTGTACAGCAATCTTTCTCCTCAAACCTACCACCACTCTCTTTTCTTTCCTTCTTACTTTCTCTTCCCCCCACCCTCTTTTTCTCCTCCCTACTTCCTCTTTCTTTCTCCTTCTCCTCCTCTCTTCCTCCCTCTCTTACCCTCACTCCTACTCTAATTTCCATTCCTTCATCCCTCTCTATTGCTGTAATCCTTTAATGCATATGGACTACTCAGAGGGCTGAAAAAGTTATTTTTGACTGGTCCTCACACTTTTGACCAGTCCTCGAACTTATGACTGTCCTCACATTTTACATTTTTGCCCTATCTTGTCATCATGGTGAAGAGAAGCAGTTGTGAAATGAGTGACATGGTTGTTAAGAATGCTGCATGGGCATAAATGTGAGGATGGTCATAAGTGTGAGGACCAGTCAAAAGTGTGAGGACCTGTCAGAAATGACTTTTTTCAGCTCTCTGGTTAGTCCTTTTGTGCATATGGACTACTCAGAGGGCTGAAAAAGTTATTTTTGACTGGTCCTCACACTTTTGACCAGTCCTCGAATTTACGACTGTCCTCACATTTTACATTTTTGCCCTATCTTGTCACCATGTTGAAGAGAAGCAGTTGTGAAATGAGTGACATGGTTGTTAAGAATGCTGCACGGGCATAAATGTGAGGATGGTCATAAGTGTGAGGACCAGTCAAAAGTGCGAGGACCTGTCAGAAATGACTTTTTTCAGCCCTCTGGTTAGTCCTTTTGTGCATATGGACTACTCAGAGGGCTGAAAAAGTTATTTTTGACTGGTCCTCACACTTTTGACCAGTCCTCGAACTTACGACTGTCCTCACATTTTACATTTTTGCCCTATCTTGTCACCTTGTTGAAGAGAAGCAGTTGTGAAATGAGTGACATGGTTGTTAAGAATGCTGCACGGGCATAAATGTGAGGATGGTCATAAGTGTGAGGACCAGCCAAAAGTGTGAGGACCTGTCAGAAATGACTTTTCAGCCCTCTGAGTAGTCCCTATACACATAGCCATGGCCACCCGGTCACATGACCAGGTAGCCACGCCCACCCAGTCACATGGCCTCCAAGCCACGCCCACACAATAAGCCACGCCCACAATGGTGTCCTTCTTACCAATGTTAAAATCTGTTCACCTTACCCTATAGACATAGCCATGGCCACCCGGTCACATGACCAGCTAGCCACGCCCACCCAGTCACATGACCAGCTAGCCACGCCCACAAAATAAGCCACACCCACAATGTCCCTCTTTACCAATGTTAAAATCTGGTCACCTTATGTTAAGTAGTTCCATTCTGTGTTTATGGCATGTTTCCTAGCTTTGGCTGGCCACATTTCAAGTGTCCCAGTTATTATGGGCAGGGTTCCTGGCTTTCTGTTATGGCTCTGCTGCCTTCCCATCTCCCATGGTCAATCAGGACCCTGCAGCAGAAAGAGGGTGGTTTTCTCTTGAGACTAACTTGTAGATTGCCCCTTTGGGCACTAAAATAAAAATAAATTTCAAAGAAAAAAATGACAAGATTCTAGGACAGTGTGGAGACAGGTTTGCTATGGTGGGCTGCTCCTGCTATGATTGTGCAACTGATTAAATGCAGTAGAAGAGAGCTGAAAATGACTGCAGCTGCTGAGCAGCCCCCTCTCCTCTCTGATTGATGATCAGAGTGTTCCCATGTGCTTGGCCCTTGGGGGCAGGGCCGCCCCCATGCAGACCCAGAGACCTCCATGGGGAGCTGGAGGGGGCATAACGGGGTGAGCACTATGTTCCATCAATTGGAAGTTTTGAGAGATTGAGGGGGCTGGAAAATGTCTGTTGGCACTTGCTACCTATATTTCCCCCTCCCCTCCTTCCTTTTAACCGAGTTAAGACCTTGTTGGCCTCATTATGGCTACTGCTATCCAGCCTATCCTGGCCTGCTGAGCTGTTCCTACTTTCCCCCATTTCCATCAAGCCATCTCTGAATCTCCTGCCTTGTAAGATTTCTCCTGAACTAAATTTTGAACTAAATCCTTCTTGTGAACTGGAGGTTTGGGCTTTCTGACTTCTCCTAACCCATATGGGGCATTGGATCTATGGACTATGGACTCTAAGCTGATGGGAGTCGGTGTATGGCTGCCTTCACTCCCGGGTTTCCATCAAAGTTTTATTGGTCGGCCTTTGTGAGAGGATGGTCGGCCAAGAAATTTCCAGGGGTCGGATGGCATATCTCCCCCTCCACTGCTGTGAGAGGGCAATGGAATTCAGTTGCCTGTGCCATGGACTGGAACTTTTTCCCTGTACTATAACATCATGGTGGTCTCCTGACCATGGACTACTTTCACCCCTAATGATTTGATGTACTCAGTGTCTGAACTCCTTGCCCTGCGAGATTCCCCCCTCTCGCAGGTTTGGCCCTCCACTTTATCGAGGGCCTATCTCGATGACAGATTTTGGAATCCTGAGAGATGGCATGGCGTGAGGAAGGGCTTGTGGGGCTTTTTGGGAAAGTGTTTTAATAAGATTTTAAAGGGTTCAGGGAGGGGTCTTTTAACAATCTTTTAAGGGGAACTGGGAGGACGACCAAAGGGGATGGGGGGGGATCCACTAAGGTCAGAGCCGAGCCCGGCACGGGGTAACGGTTTGGAGGGTGCAGGACGAGGGATTGGGGAGAGGATGGAGGGCTATACCAATGAGGGGTGTACCATTAGCATTAGGATGGGAGGGGCAGATATGGCGGGAGCGGGAGACCATATCACGTGTCGGGGGTGCACACTTGCTGTTTGAGAGCTATTGCGCGCCCCGGTCTCCAAGGCTCCTCTCGGATACTAGGTGGCTTAGATACTCAGGAACTGGGTCTTCGGCTGATGCTGTGCAATGCCAGGTCCGTGGTAAATAAGGCCCCGCTCATCCATGATCTTATACAGGAGGGGGGAGCGGACCTGGCGGGTATTATGACTGTCGGAGACCTGGTTGGGCCCGGAGGGAGGGGTCCCTCTGGTTGAGATGTGCCCACCAGGCTTCAGAGCATTCCATCAGCCGTGGGCCCTGGGGAGGGGAGGGGAGGGGCGGTTATTATTAACGAAGGTCTTGGTCCGAGGGAGACCACTGTGCCACAGTTTGCCAGATGTGAATCCCTCTTTGTGAGATGGGGTCATGGGGTTCAGATGGGCTTGTTGCTTGAGTACCTGGCTCCCTGCCACGCGGCAACGGCCCTGCCCGAGCTCCTCGACGTGATAGCCATGGTGGCAGTTGATACACCCAGGCTTATGGT